GAGTGATATCCCGAAGAAATGAAAAAAGCAAGAAAAGTCTTAATTATTTCGCCCAGAAGAATCAACAAAACTACTGGAAAGAGTTGACAATTGAACTTAATAATTGACAAGAATTATTTAAGGATGAAATTAATATTTACAATCTATTGTAGACGTTGTTAGAACAGGTAGGTGAATCCCAAGGAAGAGAATGATTTTTACAGTCATGCAAACAAATTTTGTTAGCGTGATCCGTGTGTACCAGTATCAAGGTCTGGTTGAATAGGCAGGGATCCCAATTAAGTATATTTTAGAGGACTGCTGCGACAGTCACCAAATGAGGAGGACGGAAACAAATATGTAGCACTGAAGTCACTACTGAACTTTGCATCATTCAACAGAGTAGATGTGATCATTGTGTACCAGTATCCAACAGGTCTGGTGAAAAGGCCAGGGATCCCAGATAAGTATATTTTAGTAGGAACTACTGAGGGGACTGCATCCAATATGAGAGACGGGAAAACATTATGTAGCATGAAGACACTACCGAACTGGCATCAATCCTCAAGAGAGTTGTGTAGATACATTTCATAATGGGGATGTATATAATTGTACGAACATTTTAGTGAATAAAGACAGTCACCGCATTGAGCATTTGGAATAATGACAGTAACGCATTGAACATTCTGTGAATAATGACTGTCACCTCATTGAACATTCTGTGAATAATGACTGTCAACGTATAGAATATTACGTGAATAATGACGGTTACACACGGTATGGTGATCATGATGGTCCCACATGGCTTATGTGATAATGACTGTCACCGCATGGAGTATGTGAATATGTTTGGTCACCGCATGGCAGTATCGTGAATAATATTTGGTCCACCGCATGGTGGGAGTATGTGAATAATATTGGTCCACCGCACATGGAGTATGTGAATAATATTGGTCACACATGGAGTATGTGGAATAATATTTGACCACCACATGGAGTATGTGAATAATATTGGCCACGCATGGAGTATGTGTATAATATGGCCACCGCATGGAGTATGTGACTAATGATGGTATCGCATCGCACACTTTTGTGAGTAATGGACAGTATTGTATAGGACATTTTTTTAGAAATAACAGTGTAGTGTATGCGGTCATGTTTTGTTAAGAATAACAGTGTAGTGTAGGTGGTCAGTTTTCTCCACCACTTAACTGCATGGGTCATGTAATGGGTCAATCAAATTTGTGTAGTGTGAAAATTTTTTGGCCCTTTTTCAATTTGTTTATTTACACACCTATGAGGGGTGCATATTTGCTACAATTATCTAATACCAACAATAATTTATGAGTAATCAAGCATTAGAATTGTGTTAGTCAGTTTTAGAACAATGCTGTAATAAGCACAAGGTTTATATTTAAGTATCTAAATTTTGTATTTTGGAAGGGATCTAACTTAACTAAATTAGCATGCCACGCCTTGCAAATGACTTTGTACTGTATATTGCAATTGAAAGTTTTTTTTTTTTTTTTTTTTTTCAACAAAATCTGTTTCTTGCTTATGTTATATATACCAAATCTTATGGTTTGCTGTTATTTTTGATAAAAATCTCATTGATCTTCAAGCAGTTTTTCCAATTTAAAACAAATTGGTTAAATGTGTTTAGTTTACTAATTGGAATGATTTCTATTTGTTTTTTGTTGGTAAATGTTTATTTTATACTTTGGTGTTTTATAGAGGAGTTTTCTTGTGGAAACAAGACACTTATTTCTGGTTATTTTGAGGAATCTGAAGCATACAACTCACTTTCTGGTTATTTTTATTTTTGAGATCAGAACGCATACTTTTTATATTTTACGATGTATTTGTTACACTTCAAGAAAAAAAGGGCTCAAAGTTTTAGTTTTCTGGTAGTGGAGGAACAATCTACAATTTAATTAAGTGGTTCATACCAAGTATGTACTGAATTTCCCACATAAGTAACTGGAATTTACTGACTGTGAGTGAAATTTCCGTAGTATTTTGAGTGATGATTTGCAAGTTTGCTACTGAGTTTATTATAATTTAATAACTTTGGCCAAAAATTTTATAAGACAGTAGTTAAGCAAATGTGTATGAAAGTATAATAATTGTTGCATATATTACTGTGAAATTTTTAAATGGAATTTATTAAAATGTTAATGAAAAAAAAACAAAACCTATCTACAAAAAAAAATTTATGTATTCATGAAGTGCATGATGAAAATTATATTCTTTATTTCATAAATATTTTGGTCCATGACTATTTATATTTGATTTAATGCATCCTCATAAATGCTCTACCTGCACTCACCTAAAACATATAGCTATAAGTCTATGCTGATGATATATGATCCATCAACAGGGCATAAGAAGATGATTACCATTCTTAATGAAGTTCAGAAATTTGTAATCGACTAGGCCTCATAAGATTGCTTCCTCTAAAACTAAGATATTAAAAGCAAAAGGACATCCCCACCCATCTATTTGCAGGGTGAATTCATTAGTACGTTTAAAATTATCAGATATCTTGGTGTAGATGTACTTGAACAAATCCATATACAACAACTAAATCAAGAAATGTAAAGCTAGGCTAATGCTCTCAAAGCTGTTGCTGGCTACTAATCCCAACTATGGTGCAATGTGAGAATCGTGAGAATGATGTACATGGCCTATGTTAGGTCCTTAATTGTTTATTGCTGCTACCATGTTGATATTAGATAGAGAAAGTTCTCCTTCCGATCCCTTGGAGTTAATGCAAAATGAAGCTCTCAGGATTATTATGGCTGTCCCAGCTATCTACAAATGTTCTTAAATGAGGTAGGAGCTTGTATTTCTAGTATCAGTTGATAGGATTGTTGAAATTAACACTGTCATTACTCGGTATTAGAATGTTGAGAAACGAACCAGAACTGTCCACTGTGAATTCTTACCAAGTGTCTAGAGGTAAATACAACAGATCTAAATGGATTGTGAAAACGTGCAATGCATAAGTTTATAAAACTGCATGAATGTTATCACTGTAGGCAACAAGAGCATTTAACCCCACTCCATGGCAAAGATGTGTTCATTTAATATCACACTTACCTACAAAAGGGGGGGTGGGGTGGTCGAGGGCCCCTCCCAAGAAGCTCATTGCTAGTAATCCCTTCTTAATCTTTTGTTAGAGCAACTGCTCAAGCAAGAAATTTCTCCACCTAGCTGGTAGTAACAAGTTTTCACAAGTTATAAACACTGATGGATCTAAAAAAGGAGTCTTCGCAGGGATGCATCTGCTGTGTTGCCACCTCCTAGTTACGAAGATAATAAATTTGAGTTAGGCATTCAGAAATTAACAACTGGGGATCTACACTGCAAAACTGAATTGTTTGCAATCCTTAATGGGCTAAAAGCTAACCTAGACATGAGTTGATCTATCATCTTTACAGAATTCTTGTCATCATTGAAGGTTCTTGCTCTCATTATTGACTCCAAACACATGCTCATTGGGGAAGCAGGTTAGAAATACTTAAAAATTGGGACAAGGAATTATGTACAATTGATTGTCCATCACACATTTGTTTATACTTCATGAAAAAGTTGTATGTTTAAGCAAGAAGAGTATCGAGAAGGGAATGTAGAATATAACTTAGGTATAACTGTGTCTAGCATTAGGAATAATATAGGAGAGAAGTAAATAATGAAAATGGATTGTTATAGGAATGCAGTTAGAGAAAGCCTGAGTAGCTCTATACCCACTATGATAACATGAACGTAGATAAGTATGTTTATGGAGCAACTTTGCAATGTGAACCGTCTGACTGATGTTGTAGTGCCTGGCTTAGGCTTGGTTAAAGTACTTATGGCTGCTTGGGAGACACAAGATGATGATCAAACAAATGTTAAATTATGGTGTGATCTGGATATGGTCAACGCTCTTGAACAATATGATGCTTTTGACACTTATTGAGGTATTACAGAGAAGACCGTATAATAACCTATGTGACATGTCAAGTATGAATCGTATTAATGAAATAAGATACCAGAATTACTAAGCAAATTTCTAAATTTGCTTGTAAACAGATACCGTGAACTATAGATATGTAGATAGAAATCCATATGTATTCCTGGTTAACCTTTGGGGCTAGTTTACTTGGCCTTTTGTGTATCCATATGCTCTCGCGCTACCGTCCACATGGATGGATATTGGGGTGTACAATAAACTAGACAATTCGGTGGCAAATCTATTAGAAGGATAGCAATGTATGTAGTGTGTTAAGTGTGTGGGCACACCAGTGGTGATGTTTGGGTGGGGTGAGGATGGGGGAGGATGGGGGAGATGGGATGAGGGGGGTGAAAAGCAAGCAAGTCACCGCCTTACCTCTTGTGGGGATGGGGCTGGAAGTGACTGCCAGAAGTTTTCCTCTAGCTCTGGTGAAGAATATCAGGATAACCCAGGATAATCCTCGAGCAACAGTGTTCAGTGTTGCTCAGCTGAAGAGCAGGTAACGTACGACGTTCTTCTTCTACATCCAGGCGCTGTATAATCCTCCGGGTTTAGCGCTTCCCATTGATGATAATAATATATAATAATCCACGGGGCTGGGCTGCTCAATTTGTCATTTTCATGATGGAGCACAAACAAAGGTATGTGGAGCTAATATAGTTTAATAAACCTATATTTAATATGGAATATGACTTATAGCGATTAAATCTTAGCAATAGTTACCTGAATATATCAACAAAACTATTCTTAGATTAATATTTGATATAAATAAACAAGGCAGAATTTTTAACACCACCCAAAAAAAATTTCGAAACGTTCAGAAATTTTAATATCATATTCACTAATGAGCTAATTTAAAATTATCTCCATTTAATTTTTTATACAGGATTTTTTTTTCATCTTGAATACCAATTCGTTTTTTTTAAACTCAGGGGGGGGGGGGGAATGACGCAGTATAGAGTTAGCAGAGTGACTGAGGAGTCCAAGAAGGGAGGATTGCTGATGGCCAGCGTCTCCAGCCATGTTTGTCCTCACCCTCTCCCTCTCCCTTTGTGGTTTTCTGTTCTTCAGCGAGCAGAGGCAGCAAGCGAAGTAACTTTTCCTGATATGGTAAGTGGCATTGCTTGATAAATGATATGATAAGTGGTATTGCTTGATAAATGATAGGTATTTTATATGTATAATACTGGTGGGGCGGTCGGCCTCATTAGTTAATGTGCGGAAGTCATGCTGGTCACCTAGCTGTTGATAATTAAAGTATTACATGCCCTTGTGGTTTAGCGGCTTCCCCTTGATTATATACCCCTCAAGGAAGGTACCTTGATGTTGGTGAGGGGCTCTTGATTTAGGGAATTGAATCTGCTCCAGTTCCCCGAATTAAGCCTGAATTTCCTTCCACATCCCCCCAGGCGCTTTATAATACTCCGGGTGTAGCCGCTCCTCTTGATTGCATAACACTTTGATTATAATATTTAATTGTGTAACAGTAAAGAATTGTACATTTGTTGCTTCTTGGATGAAACCTGATGCCTTTAATTTTCTGGATGCTGCACGCCTACTGATTTAGCTCTCAATGAATTAGCAAAATGTTTTGTACGCATTATATATTTTTTTAAGCCGTACTACTATTATACTTACTATGCTCAAGAGCCTTTTAGTGATGAAGGGCTCTTGATACAAAAAGTTGAGACCACCCCTACTCCCTTTTCCTGGACTGAATCCGTCCTAAGACAATGGATTTTTCTCGTGAAATAAAAAAAATATCAAGGGATGTATTGTGGGTCAACCAAGATTCAAGCCCTAGATTAATTGAGTTGGAAGAACAACCATCGAGTAGCTCTTTTTCTGGAACAATAATTTATCGAGTTACATTCAAGCGGGATATTTTATCCCGGCTAAAGGCTCTCGATCCAAGGAATTTGAACTGCCGTCCCGTTCCTTGGATCAGTCCCTACGAGTCGAACGTTTCCCAGTGCATGAATTTGTGTATATAAATCACTGGCGTGTGATGGGGGCAATGTGAGCCTGATTTTTTTTCAGTCTGGTAAATCATCTGTTGCAAGTGATTCATTGTAGTCTGGGAAACTACTTACTGTTACACATAGTAATGGATTGGGAAAGGGGGGGGGGTGCGTATATACATGACTGTTACACATAGTAATGGATTGGAAAAGGGGGGGGGAGTGGTATATACATGGACTGTTACACTAATGGGATTGGAAAAAGGGGGGGTGCTATATATTCATCGATTGTTACACATAGTAATGGATTGGGGAAGGGGGGGTGCGGTATAATGACTAAAGGGGCACATGGTTAGGTCTGGGAAATTACTTTTTTACTGTTTCACCTATAGTACATGATTGGGAAAGGGGCGGGGTGCGTATCTCATCTCTTGACGTATTGTAGGGACACTTTTGTAGTCTGGGGAAACTACTTTCGGTTTACACATAGTAATGGATTGGGAAAGGGGGGGGTGGGTGCGTATATACATGACTAAAGGGACACATTGTAGTCTGGGAAACTACTTACTGTTACACTTAGTAATGGATTGGGGAGGGCGGGCGCGGGTGGTATATACATGACTGATGAGACTCATTGCTAGTCTGGGAAACTACTTACTGGTTAACATAGTAATGGATTGGAAGTGTGAAAGGGGGGGTGGTATAACAGGTCTAGGGGCACATTGTAGTCTGGGAAACTACTTACTGTTACACATAGTAATGGATTGGGAAAGTGGGGGGGGGTGCGTATATACATGACTAAAGGGACACATTGTAGTCTGGGAAACTCTTATGTTACACATAGTATTGGATTGGGGAAGCGGGGGGGTGTGCGTTTATACATGACTAAAGGGGACACATATGTAGTCTGGGATAACTACTTACTGTTACACATAGTAATGGTTGGGAAAGGGGGGGTGGTTTATAATGACTTTTACTTTATCCGGCTAAAGGGCTCCGAATCCAAGGAATTTGAACTGCTTCCCGTTCCTTGAATCCAGTCCCTAGAGTCGAACGTTTCCCAGTGCATGAATTTGTGTATATAAATCACTGGCGTTGTGATGGGGGCAATGTGAGCCTTGATTTTTTTCAGTCTGGTAAAATCATTGTTGCAAAGTGATTCATTGTAGTCTGGGGTTTACGTACTGTTTACACATAGTATTGGATTGGGAAAGGGGGGGGGTGCGTATATACATGACTGTTACACATAGTAATGGATGGAAAGGGGGGGGGTGTGGTATATCATGACTGTTAACTAATGGATTGGAAAAAGGGGGGGTGTATATATACATGGATTGTTACACACTAGTAATGAGGAATGGAAAGGGGGGGTGCGTAGAGGGGGTGCGTATATACATGATAAAGGGCACATTGGAGGTGGGAAAGACTTACTGTTTACAATAGTAATGGATTGGGAAAGGGGGGGGGTGCGTATATACATGACTAAAGGGACACATTGTAGTCTGGGAAACTACTTACTGTTACACATAGTAATGGATTGGGAAAGGGGGGGTGCGTATATACATGACTAAAGGGACACATTGTAGTCTGGGAAACTACTTACTGTTACTCATTAGTAATGGATTGGGAAAGGGAGGGGGGGGTGCGTTTATACATGATAAAGGGACACTTTGTAGTCTGGGAAACTACTTACTGTTTACACATAGTAATTGGATTGGGAAGGGGGGGGTGCGTATATACTGAATAAAGGGACATACATTGTAGTCTGGGAAACTACTTACTGTTACACATAGTTATGGATGGGGAAACGGGGGGGGGTGCGTATATACATGAACTAAAGGCCAATTTGTGTCTGGGAAACTATTATGTTAACATAGTAAAGATTGGAAAGGGGGGTTGCGTATATACATGACTAAGGGGCAATTGTAGTCTGGGTGAAACTAACTTTGTTACACATAGTAATGGATTGGGAAATGGGGGGGGTTGCGTATATTACATGACTAAAGGACACATTGTAGTCTGGGAAACTACTTACTGTTACACCATGTACATGGATTGGGAAAAGGGGGGGGGGTGCGTACTATACATGACTAAAGGGACACATTGTAGTTGGGAAAACTACTTACTGTTACACATAGTAATGATTGGCGGGAATGGGGGGGGTGCGTATATTACATGACTAAAGGGACACATTGTAGTCTGGGAAACTACTTACTGTTACACATAGTAATGGATTGGGAAAGGGGGGGGTGCGTATATACATGGAATAAAGGGGACACATTGTAGTATGGGAAACTATTACTGTTACACTAGTAATGGATTGGGACAAGGGGGGGCCGTGCGTATATACATGACTAAAGGGGACACTTGTAGTTGGGAAACTACTTACTGTTACACATAGTAATAGATGGAAAGGGGGGGGGGGGTGCGTAGATACATGACTTAAGGGACACATTGTAGTCTGGGAAACTACCTTACTGTTACACTTGTAATTTATTTTTCACTAATGGACAAAAACTTGGGAAAGGGGGGGGGTGGTGCGTATATACATGACTAAAGGGACACATTGTAGTCTGGGAAACTACTTACTGTTACACATAGTAATGGATTGGGAAAGGGGGGGGGTGCGTATATACATGACTAAAGGGACACATTGTAGTCTGGGAAACTACTTACTGTTACATATAGTATTGGATTGGGAAGGGGTGGGTGGGGTTTAAACGGGGGGGTGGGATATATACATGACTAAAGGGACACTCCCTCGGTAGGCAGGCAAACTACATGCTTAGTCTTGTATCACTATGTAATGATGTGCGCTCCACAATTCTGATATAAGTTATTTTAGGTTATTTACAATTTATTTAGGTTATATGCAATTTAGATAATTTACAATTTAATGGAAAGTAACGGCAGATAGCTTAAAAATATAAACAGCGGCTTGGTAAGCTTACGATATACATAGATAATTGTTAAAATCCTAATGTTCATCTGTAAAAATAACGAAGTAAGGCTAGAGTGAGATATGGACTTAATGTCCACGATCTATGAATGACAAATCAGAGGCGAGTATTTTGATACCTACTGATTAATCTTGTCACCATTTATGCCATGATATTGGTAATGCTCAGGATCTTGGAACCTAACCCCTACCCTCCCTCTTTATCAAATAAACTATGGATTACTGACCATCCCAGGGACTGGATGACGTGGGTTTAAGGCTTCCTTGTGATACTGATAAAAAAAAAAAAAAAAAAAAAAAAAAAAAAAAAAACAAAAAAAAAAAATAAAAAAAAAAAAAAAAAAAAAAAAAAAAAAAAGAAAAGATTGGACTGTGGCCTGGTGGCTTAAAAGCTCCGGCACTTCAAACACGGGAAAGGGCCCGAGTTCGATTACCTGCGGGTTTGGTGGAAAACATTTCGACACCGTTTCCTTACACCTGTTGTCCTGCTAACCTAGCAGCAAAATCGGTACATTGGGGTGTTAGTCGACTGGTGTGGGTGGAATCCTGGGGGAAAAGATTAAGGACCACAATGGAATAAGTTAGACAGTCCTCGATGACGCATGACTTTCTTGGGTTATCCTGGGCTGGCTAACTCGGGGTTAAAAATCCGAAAGAACAATCTTTTCTCTATCATTATCTTATCACATGATGTGAAGTGTATGTAGGGTGTCAGTGAACATATTCTTATGAAAGGACTTGCGACTTGTCTGTTTTATTATTTTTTATTTAGAATTGAATGCAAAAAACACGCTTGCTTCTTGATGGGAAAAGTGTACTTGGATGGAAGAAATGGAGTTCCCTTTTCCTTGGATCAACCTGATTACCCTCCTTAGGGTGCTGTATGACCATACGAGTTGGGCTTCTTCCCTGTCAATATATTGGTAAATGCATTCCACTTCAATACCATAAAATAAACCGTTGATTTTATTGTTAAGTATGCATACACTTTAATATATTGAGGCAATTATTATATCTATACTTCGTCTAGTGTTGATATTATTTTAACTTAAGACCAGGATTAATTTCTAAGGATAAGAAGCGTTATTATCAAGCAACTTGCTTCATACTAAGTTTCTTCCAGTTTAAATATTCCGTAAATATTTGCTTTACTCTATCGAACTTAAAACGTAGACAGGTGAGTGAATCGT